TTAACACAAATGCGAGTGAATATAGAACGAGAGGTATGTGTGTAGTAGTGTATTTAGGAAATAACCACAAAAAGGTGTCACGCTATGTTAGTATCACAACGGAAAATGGTGATCAAGGTCATTTACTTAAACAACAGGTACAATCATTTAATAATAAATGTACATACAATGAAAGATTAGCAAAATAAATACAAGCCTTATAAGTGCTAACATAAAGAAATTTAACAAGTTTGAATAATACTACTTATATTAGGGTGTATGCTACTTATGTTAACCGATATAAGTAGTATGTAACACTAATCAGAAGTGAAATATCTATCAATATAGAATTAAAAGACAAAAACAGAAAAGAATTGAAATAAAAACAGAGCTACAAGAATCATGAAGAATGTAAATGACAACTGATGAATGATGTGTGCACGAAGGTATTTTTCATATATGTGGTTTTTATAAATTACAAAGATATATTGTAATTTTGAATTGAATCATAAATTGGTTTCCCCCCCCCGCCACTTAAGTGTTCGTTCATAGAACTGAATACACTTTCATCATACAATTATGCAGTGAATCTTAACCAAGGAATCTACATGTTTACGAATTATCTTATAATAGTTAGTATATGTATAGGCTGTTACTATGTCAGTCAACCCAATACATAGGTTATTGCAGCCTGTAGACAGATCAATTTATTCATACTTCTCAAGCGTCATTTTGACATTGTTGATTATTCGCTTATTAACCTTAACTGTTATGTATGTGAATTGTCTGACCTATTCATTATGTGTTTGGAATTGATTTTCATCTGAATACAACTGTTAAATCACGCTTGAACTAAACGACCTGGCTCACTCGATTTCTCTGCTGCATGTCACTCCGTCTTGCTTCTCTTCGCTTTCTCTAGTTGGTTTCTCTGATTACCTGTCTGAATCAATGAGTGTATGAAATATACGTATTGAGAATTTATTCTCATATTTGGCTTATTTTATTTCGTTGTTCCCTAACACAAATTAAGTCGATGATTATACACGAGGGTTATTTTATTTATTTATTTAACCACATAAAAATTGATACAAGAAGGCACCAAATACATATGCGCCACACAAATCATTCAATTTGTGTGAGGGTTAGGATACTACTCGGGTGCTCAAACCGAACCACGTGGTTTGCTTAGGAAGCCAAACCCGAAGCCTTTGACCTAAAGATCCAATTCACAAGGCAGTAGAACAACGTAAGGAGATGCAGTCCTATG